AATGAGCTATAGTTGATCGTTTTCAAGATAATCCGCTTTTTATTATTCGATGTAGACCAATTTGTTTAGAAGATTTTTAAAGATAGGTATAATAATGTTTGCCATAAAGTTTTTATGCAGCAAACAAAAAATTAAAAAATGAAAAAGAGTAATGAATTTAGCATGTTAATAAACAAGAAAATTGAATTTAACACGTTAACGAATAAGAAAAATTAATTTAACACTGATCAACAACTACTAGTGATTTGACACTTGATACAATAAACTAAAGCATTAGTGAACTTACCCACTGTGTTTCAATGGCAAACATTATTATACCTGTCTTTAAAAATCTTCTAAACAAATTGGTCTACATCGAATAATAAAAAGCGGATTATCTTGAAAACGATAAACTTTAGCGCATTTTGATAAGAGTACCCTTTTTGCTTAAAAACTAGAGAAAATAAGAATTTTTATTCAAAAAGCCAAAAAGTATACTGTCAGAAAAGTTATTGTTATTTTAATCCGTAAAGAATACGTTACAGACCGGCTATAGTAAAACGGACTCCATAATCGTCTTTCTAGTGCCAAAAAACCTCCGTATACCAAATTTGAAAAGAATCGGTTGAAATACACGTCTAATATTAAATAAAAAACAATTTAAAAATTTAATTTGAACACCCTGTATCTCCAAAACAAAGCGTTTGTGACCTATGTTTATATGAAGTTTTTGTGTTAATTTTAAAAGATCTATCGACTGTTAAAGTCCTGCTACAAAAACCTGAAACACCCTGCATACAGGGTGTATCTGAATGACTGCAACAAACTTCGATATCATATTGAACCATACCCTTGAAGTTTGTTGCAATCATTCAGATACAGCCTGTATATACAGTGTCCGCCAAAAAGTCAGCAATACCCGTTTTATTTCTCTTCCATTGCATCAACGTTTCTGACATTTAGCTTATATGGAAAGTTCATACCGATCTTTCGATCTAAAGTATTTTCAAGATGGTGGCCACTTCCGGTCCCCCGGAAGTAGACCTCAACTTAGTTATTTTAAATGGAATGCTATAGTTCTTATTGCACCTTTTAATTGTATGCGAAAAAATACGCCATCTTGAAAATACTTTAGATCGAAAGGTCGGTATGAACCTCAGTAGTATAGATTCGCCGATTCAAGAACCTCCTCCTCTCTTCATCGAATCTCCTCCGACCCTCAAAAGAATCGCCGATTCAAGAACCTCCTCTCCTCATCGAACCTCCTCTGACCCCAAAAAATTTGCCGATTCAAGAACCTCCTCCTAGAACGCAGGTTCGAGGAGGAGGTTCTTGAATCGGCGAATCTATACTACTAACCTCCCGCACAAACTAAATTTCAGAAATGTAGATGCAATGGAACAAAAATAAAACGATTGTTGTTGACTTTTTGGCGGACACCTGTATATATAAATATAACTAGGTTTGGTAGGAGAGGATGCAGATGTAGAAATTAAGTGTGCTTACTCTTTGCATATAAAGAAGCAGTTACTTCATAGTGCTATATAAAATAATAACCAATTTTATTTGGTGTACAAGGAGGGCAACCAACATGAAAACATAATCACAATTATTTCCATCAGATATTTTTAAAATATACAGTTTAAGCCAGAAGCTTCCCAAAGCTGGCGCGTTGCAAGTTTCATAATGACATGCTATAAAACTAGTATATGCATGTATGTTACTATAAATTACTAGTATTTTTAGATCCAAGGACAACTCAACATTACCAAACGAAAAATGTGTTATTTTGTAGTGTATACAGGGTGAGTCAGAAAGAATGGGAAATCCGAATACCGGAGACACTAGACACCAATATATGACGATTTAACCTAACCTCTTATACAAATGTAGGTGGTTTTCAAGGCACAGGGTGTTGAAAATTAAATTCTTATTTCGAAATTTCTTGATAAATTTGAAGCTTTTTGTACTATTAACACAAAATTTGGTAGTTATATGTTTTTGAGCATAAGAAATGCTTGTTTGTACTTATACTTGTATAAGTATTAGAACAGATGGTGCATTCCAGACAGGACGTCGCGCCTTATTTCTTTATATAGGTAAGATAAAGGCGCGACGCACTGTCTAGGACATACCATCGATTCCAATTGGACGGAACCCTCCTCACCACGCAGAACTTACTTCTGTTTCTCTTTAATTTATAATTCCATTAAATCGTTCTTAAAAAGTTTTCGAAATAATAGCATCCTACTAAACCGCGATTTTCCGCGAAACTATATGGAATATCGAAAAAATAAAATATGCCTCACATTAAGAACACATCGGTTTACCACCAGTTCAAATTTGAAATTTTTTCATAAAATAGTTTTGGAGAAAAAAAATCGCAAAGTAGACAAAAAAAAAGACTCAAAAATAGGGTAGTTTTTTCACTTAACTCGCGATAAAATAAAAACCGCAAACCCGAAATTTTTCAAATTAACATGTGATACGCAGAAATGTTCACTGATTACAATAAACTTTACCGCAATTTTGTTCATCGAGCGGTTACGAAGATATCAATCTCTAAAATGACTTTTTTCACGGATAGTAGACATTTTGGCAGCCAAACCTATTTTTAGTTGTAACTTCGTAACGATGTATCCCAGAATTTTGATTTTTTAGAACAACAAAGAAAATTAATTTTTCCAAAAATTAAAAAAAATAGCTAGTCAAAAAATCATTTTTTCGGCTTTTCTCGCCGAGTTTTTATTTTTTCCGCTTTGGAACAATGTAGAACAACTCTAGAACAATCTAGAACAACTATGAAAAAATTAAAAATCAAAAAGTGGGGGGGCTAACTTCCCGCAGTCAATATTTTTAGATCCAAGGACAACTCAACATTACCAAACGAAAAATGTGTTATTTTGTAATGTATATAGATGAGGGACACCCCATTTTTATCGAAATACAACAACAAAGACTTCAACAATTTTATCATCAATGTTTTTTGCCAGAACGAGCCAGAGTTTTAAATATGTCTGTAAATATACAGGATGGTCCATTACTAATGGGACACAGAGCAACAGCGAATTCTTACATTAAATTATTACTAAATTATTAATATATAAGATGTTTCATTTAAAAAAATTATTTTTATGTCAATAACTACTAAAATATTGCTTTGAGCTAACTTATTCCATAATTTTACATAAAAAGTTGCTTTCAAAATGAAATGTTTTCACAGAAAGGAAGATTTTTCAATAAGATGACGACTTTTCGAAAATGCACCTTTTTGAAAAACAGCCTGTATCTCCGAAACCGTAAGAGATATCGATATGCGGTTTTCGCCATTAAGTTTCTTATAAAAATCGAGCCTCAAACAGTGAAATCATTTTTCCTCTATCTCTTATAAAAAGAGGAGTTTCAATTTAAAAGTGTCCAATTTGGCCCATCCTGTACAGGGTGGTTCAAATTCGATGTCCGAATACGCTGACTCGGAAACTATAAGAGTTAGAAAAAAAGTAGCTTACATGTCATGATCTCGAAAATATCGTAAAACCAACTTGTACAATTATCTTGGTTATTATTATAGGTGGAGTATTATAACTAAGAGATTATATGGACACTTTTTTGCAGAGAATTTCATAACGAAGTCAAAAAAAATTTGTGGAGATTTTCAGATATCATGACAATTTTCGTTATTTTATTCTGATTACAAAAATATGGAGTTTGAAAGGTTTATTTCTTATTGTTTTAGAATAAAACTAAAAATAAAGTTTTTTTTTTAATGTCAAAGAAATTAAATTTACAGGAAACTGTAAATTTAATGGGTCGAGATAGCCTATTCGGACATCGAATTTGATTAGCTTTGTTTATAGAGTATTATTATTATTAGAATGTACATACAAGGGTAGAAAAAAAATCAGGCTATCGATTGCTAAAAGTTATAAACAAAAATTAATGTCGTTTAGGAAAAACTAAATTAAATTAGTTACCGACTGCAGGAACCTGTATAGTTAAGCGTAATCTTAACGTCAACAAAAAATTTGCTAGGTAAAACGTAAAAGTTACTAAAAGAAAGCGGGAAATTACTTTAATTACTATAATTTTACTTGAATTATATGGTGAAATTCATATTGGATGAGTTATAAAAAATCGTTTATTAAAAACTTTCTCACCTCTGGACTTCGGTAAGTGATAAGGCACTTTGTTAAAAAACCACATTTCCAATTCAAATTAGTTAAAAGTCAACGATTATTATTATTATTATATTGGGCACTACAACAAAATAAATAAATAAAGATAAAAATTTTAACTTTGAGGTTATGTTCACCTTCTTGACTTCTTCTATTCGGTGCTAAAGTGAAACTTGTTATGATTTTGGGTCACTTTCTCCACATTTTGTGTAGAGAGACTCTACCCACTAAATATTCGATTTCCTCTCTTTTATACTTACTTATATATATTTTTTTTGAAGGAGTAATTAAAAATGCTGGTTTTACCACTATTTATATCAATAATCTTTATGATTTTTTGTGCTCTCTGAGATGATTAACTTTATCGTTTTTTATCGAATTAAATGCAGTGTAATGACGTAATTATGTGTTCAAGGTTTTTTTTTACTATGCAAATTAGATGTACATAAATTAAATAAAGAATTTTTGTTTTCAGTATTCTTATGAGAATGGAGATGTCAATTCTTCCAGGAATGTCGCCAAATAAAACTGCTTTTAAAGGAATCACCCCAGAAAAAAGATTAACCAACATAGACATCCCTGAAAATAGACCTTTTAAGTTATCCATTGAAGGAAATATTGGTGCTGGAAAATCTACTTTACTCGAATATTTAAAATCAATATCAGGAGTTGAAATTTATCCGGTAAATCAAACAAACCCTTTCTAGACTTCAGAGCCAAATAGTATTAAGTGACATTTACAGGAGAGCAATTTGAAGATTTTGAACAAAGATGTTTTTTAAACAAATTACTCTTGTAATAGGAAAGCTTGGGTTATTATTTTATTTTCCCAGTTATAATTTTGGAAAACTTTATTGAGGGACTTAATACTGTTTGGTTCTAGCAATGGACTTAATATCTTGTGACTTAACACTGCTTAGCTCCTACTAATTTATAGATATGTGGGACTTGATACTTAATTATTGTTAAAAACTAGTGGTGGAATTAGTATCTCTTTTAGGTGTTGGAACTGCAGATAATAAGCAAGTTCAACCCCAACAGGACTTTTTACATTTAATATAACTTCATTTAACATTAACAACCTCACTCTAACAATCCCATTAATTTCTATAAGGATCCTTGTGGAAATATCACCAATTATTAACTAAAGTATCCTCTTTTTAATGCAAAAAGCCGTTTTGAAAAATCACTTTCAGTTCTTGAGAAATAAATTTTTGAAATAATCAAAAATTTTTTCGAATTTTGCAATTTTCGCCGATTAAGTTTTAAAAATTCGTATAAAATCCACTTCTTGGAATATGAGTATGAAAATTTCTCACAGTGTTAATAAAAGTGTCCTCTTTCCAATGAACCAACCCATTTTGAAAAATAACTTTTAATTTTTGAGAAAACAATATTTGAAGTTTTGATACATTTTTCGATGTTGCAATTTTCATCGATAATTTTCAAAATTCGCTATAAAATTAATTTCTTGAAGGATCCTTGTGGAAATATCACCAATTATTAATTAAAGTATCCTCTTTTTAATGCAACAAGCCGTTTTGAAAAATCACTTTTAGTTCTTGAGAAATAAATTTTTGAAATAATCGACAATTTTTTCGAATTTTGCAATTTTCGCCGATTAAGTTTTAAAAATTCGTATAAAATCCATTTCTTGGAATATGAGTATGAAAATTTCCCAAAGTGTTAATAAAAGTGTCCTCTTTCCAATGAACCAACCCGTTTTGAAAAATAACTTTTAGTTTTTGAGAAAACAATATTTGAAGTTTTGATAAAATTTTCGATGTTGCAATTTTCATCGATAATTTTCAAAATTCGCTATAAAATTAATTTCTTGAAGGATCCTTGTGGAAATATCACCAATTATTAATTAAAGTATCCTCTTTTTAATGCAAAAAGCCGTTTTGAAAAATCACTTTCAGTTCTTGAGAAATAAATTTTTGAAATGATCGACAATTTTTTCGAATTTTGCAATTTTCGCCGATTAAGTTTTAAAAATTCGTATAAAATCCATTTCTTGGAATATGAGTATGAAAATTTCCCAAAGTGTTAATAAAAGTGTCCTCTTTCCAATGAACCAACCCGTTTTGAAAAATAACTTTTAGTTTTTGAGAAAACAATATTTGAAGTTTTGATAAAATTTTCGATGTTGCAATTTTCATCGATAATTTTCAAAATTCGCTATAAAATTAATTTCTTGAAGGATCCTTGTGGAAATATCACCAATTATTAATTAAAGTATCCTCTTTTTAATGCAACAAGCCGTTTTGAAAAATCGCTTTTAGTTTTAGAGAAATAAATTTTTGAAATGATCGACAATTTTTTCGAATTTTGCAATTTTCGCCGATTAAGTTTAAAAAATTCGTATAAAATCCACTTCTTGGAATATGAGTACGAAAATTTCCTAAAGTGTTAATAAAAGTGTCCTCTTTTCAATGAACCAACCCATTTTGAAAAATAACTTTTAGTTTTTGAGAAAACAATATTTGAAGTTTTGATAAAATTTTCGATGTTGCAATTTTCATCGATAATTTTCAAAATTTGCTATAAAATTAATTTCTTGAAGGATTCTTGTGGAAATATTACCAATTATTAACTAAAGTGTCCTCTTTTTAATAAGCCGTTTTGAAAAATCACTTTCAGTTTTTGAGAAAAAAATTTTTGAAATAATCCACTAGAAGAAAACAAATTTTATTCTGTACCCACTACATAAAAAAAATAAGAATAACAATAAAAATATCTGTATGTATATACAACAAAAATAAAAAAGTTAAGAGGTGAGGATAGGGCTACCGACCAAGGTCTTTCTGCCCGTGATTTTTGTAGTCGGCGGCTTCCTTCAGTCTTCTCTGACGGCCAGGAGTTTTTGGAAGAGAAGAAGTGGCTTGTTGCGAGGGTGGAGTAATCGAGGCGATATAAGCGTGTGTTGCAAGGCGTTGGTAGGAAAATTTAGAATGGATTTATCGGACAAAGATTGAAGACGGGTATGGATAGGGGGTATATCGGTAAGTTGGTATAGCAGATCATTGCTAGGGTTAAAGAGGGGATTACGGGGGTTCCTAATTCGGGTGATGGATCTCAGTGCAGATCTTTAGGCTACTTCCATTGATTCATATTCTATGATGGGCCTGCATATGGTCTTGTAGATGTGCGAAGCACATGAGGTAGAGATTCCGCGACCGCTGAACGAAAGAGATTTAAAGTGTTTGGCGCGTGTCTTTACTTTCATCTTCACCTTGGTTGCATGAGTGGAAAACTTAAGCGTTCTGTCAAGTATTATGCCAAGATACTTGCAGGTTGGTGAGACGGAGATTGCCGTTGATTGGATTGTAATTGTGGGAGAGGGAGCGCGGGGTGAGAGGAATGGGACAAAAAATTGTGTTTTTGTGGGATTGAGTAGGATGCGCCATTTTCGGTACCAATTTTCCGTTTCGTTTATGAGCGTCTGCAGCTTACGGACCGAGGAAGTGATATCCCTACTGTGCGAGACCAATGCTGTGTCGTCGGCATAAAGTAGTGCGTATGCAGTGAGGTTAAAGGCGTCTGGGTTGTCGTTGTAAAGATCGTGGCAGAAAAGATTGTATAGAGAGGGAGAGATAGGCGAACCCTGAGGAAGGCCTTGCTGAGCGGAGAAGCTGTGGGAGAAATGATTTTTCAACTTCACGATGGAGGAGCGATTCGACAGGAATTGGTTTATCAGGGTTAGAAGATAGTATGGCGTTTTTAGCTTATCCAGTTTAAA